CCCACGAATATGAAGATTTCATTTACATTCAATGTGACAATCATATATGAATATTATCCACCTGAAGGATGTTCGTTTTCGACAATTCAAGGTTGAGTTTTCTTCGAGTGTGGAGAATGATGTATAACAATCCTATTACAACTATGATAAAAGTTAGTTGTTATGATATTTCTTTCATTTGGATTAGGATTTTTCTTTTTCTTTTTATGATTTTAGTTTTTCTATCTTTTTGCAACATTGTTTAATTTCCTTATATTGCAAGATGAGGGCGTTAATTTGCTTATATAAACAAAGGCATGCACACTTTTCAATCATCAATCACATTTTTTTAGCATTAACTAGAAACAGCTTCATGTAATTTATCGATAAATTAATAAATTATTCATTATCAATAAATTGATAACCCCTTTAAAAAAAAAAAAAATTCTCGATCCAACATTATTATTCCGTGAAGATTTTTATGTAAATTTGAATTAACATCGTCTAACAAATGCGAGCAATCTAATAAATATATCAGTAAACTGAATGAATGAAGCTGTAAAAGGATTTATGCAGTGAGTTTTATTTTTATTTTTTTTACTTGTAATAAAGTTTAGTTCGTAGTTAAATCATTCAATAATCTTTCATGGAAATTTTTGAATATAGTTACAAAATAATATATTACTTGCATGTTATAAAGATCTAATTTCTATGAATAATATAGTTACAAATTCAGTAATCAAACGAATCGAATAGAGTTTTGAAAAAATAAAAAATCATGCAGACTTATCGTTACTGGCGATTCGCAAACACGGTATAAATTACATTGTTTCTTAATCATTTTCCTAAGTTTCTGAACTTTAATTTAGTACATCCTCGTTCAGTTCTCACTTGATGAAAACTGTCATTTTTCAACCAAACAATTACATGCTTTGCACGTGATAACATGTTCTAGGGTTATTTCATCAATTAGAAATGATCTTTTACCCATGATATGGGTAGAAGAAAACATGTTCACCGCTTATATGGCAATACCACGTCAGCAGTCAAGTCTACAATTTTTGACAGTTGAACGTTAAGAGCGTGTTCGGTAGAGATTAAAATCGGATTAAAACTGAAAAACTAGTCGTTATTGTTGACTTTTATTAGACGAGTGAGACTGAATAACACCTATATTTTCAGTTTTAATTGGATTTTAATCACTCTCAAACATGCTCTAAATTGTAAAAGTTTGTAAACCCACGTTAATAGTGGACAAGATTACTCCTAACCCACCATGAGTAGAAGACCATTTCTTTTAAATTAACCATCACGTCTGGTAACCGCAACGAATCGGGAAGGATCTAATTTAATAGGAATTTTCAAGAGTCGGGATAGGGCAAAAACTAAAAAAAAAATCCATCTTATTATTTAAAATATTGTAAAACATAAATCAGAATTTAAAATTTTTTGGTCAATGTCCCGATTACTAAAGAGAGCGTCGAGGACGGGTAAATTTTACCTGAAAATGATAGGCAATTGTGATGTGACTTCATTTCCATAATAACACGAGTCCATATTGACTAGCTTACCAGCACCTTTCGTATCTACTTCCACGCCCAGACCCGGAAACTCCCAAAACCGTGGGTTTGGGCCCTTTTTGACAAATCTAGATTCCAACTTCTTATCATTCAAAATTTCAAATCGCGTGGGAAACTAACTATAAATAATACCCACAACCGTAAACAAACTACTCAAATCCCTAATCCATTTTCCTGTTTCAGTTTAATTTGATCGTTTCTTCTAGTAAGTTATATGATGAACAAGTGCGAGAATGTATTCAACTATTTCGACAAAAACAGAGATGGAAAACTAACCCCATTGGAGCTTCACAGTTACATTGGATCAATTTCCGGCGATTTATCACTCGAAGAGGTGCAACTGGTTGTTGCGCCGTTGCTTTCTGGTGAGAATGGGGTGTTGGGAAAGGATGAGTTGGAGTGTTTGGTGGAAAGTGAAAACGAAGAAGAGAAAATGGAGGACTTGAAAAAGACGTTTAGAATGTATGAAATGGAAGGAATCGAATGCATTACTCCAAGAAGCCTGAAGAGAATGCTGAGCAAAATGGGTGAGTCAAGGTCTGTCGATGAATGTGTTGGGATGATTGATCGATTTGATCTTAATGGCGATGGGGTTCTCAGCTTCGATGAGTTCAAAATCATGATGCTAAGCTAAGTATTGCAAGCACGTGCATATAATATAGATTAGAGTTCCCCAAAGTCTGAATCGGTGGCCGCCACTCCATTTTTTCATTTATTTATCTACTATATGAATTTTCGAATGAACATTGGATTTGATTATTTTGTAAATTTATTTCGATTCTATATAGCATTTAATACAAAGAAAGTATAATTATTTTCAAAAATAGCCACTCACCGAGTGTAGCATTTCCTATGTTAAAAATTTTCTTACAAGGCAGAAATTGAATTTTTTCAACCTTGAAGAGCCTCTCGAATCAGAGCCATGGTCCTATTTGTTGGTCTCATTTGGATTGAGAGTGCAAATATTATATTGAACCCATATTATAATTTTTCTTCAAACGATTTTCTTTTGTCTATCATATAATTATAGTTGGCCAGTGTCATCCTTGGTGGTGGATCAAGCACTTAGCTAGCATCTATCATCGACGCACTCCATATTTCGAGTCCATTAGAGTGGTTCCAGAAAGATCATATCGAGCTGTACACTATGATCATTGCATTGTGCTCGAAAGACCTATCTCCCAAGAAATACAGCAGAAATAATTTTTACACCAATTTTCATGGAATTTTATTCAATTGAATTTGACACAAAAAAATATAACATACCCATGATTAGTCGTTTTTCTTGCTATCTTTTCCTGAAAATTAAAATATATAAAATAAATAGCCCGTTGTGATCAATTATTACCTAAATAATAACCGTTGATCCCTCCCAACAACTTATTTTATACATTAAACAAATAGCAAATGTTATGAAAATATGTTTGGGTACAAGATTTAAGAATTTAATATTAGAGAAAAGATAATAATAATAATAATAATAATAAGAATAATAATAATAATAATAATAATAATAATAATAATAATAATAATAATAAAAGTTTCAAGATATTGAACAAATATGATATGGATTGTAACACAATCCAACATAATTCGGTTATGTTTGATGCGTATGGGAAACTGTATCATTGGATGCACTTTTATCATTGAAATATTTCCAATTATGGCAAGCCTGCTTTCTTGTGACGTTTTCAAGTCTTGCATGCATACTGCTTAGAATTTCCCTATAAATAGTCGAATTTAAACTCCACCTAAGTGTCCTTAATTTTCATTCCTAAGACTCGCAATGTCGAACAACAACCACCTCCTGATGATCACTGGCAACCATTCTATGTTTCGTGCTGATAGTGGCGGTATCATAATACCTACTGTCAAGCGCTCTGATTTTCCCAAGGATTTCGTATTTGGCGCTGCAACTTCGGCTTATCAGGTGTGTGTCATATTGTTTGCATGCAGAGATTTGTTTAATTTCATTATTAAAAGCAACTTTAAATTCTTGAATTATGATGAACTTATACACATATATATTTATGCAGGTTGAAGGTGCTTGGAATGTACAGGGTAAAGGCAGGAGTAATTGGGATGTTTTCACAATGTCCGAGCCTGGTCTGTTCTCTCTCTTTACTCCTCCTCAGTGTGTTTTCTGTATGTTTTAAATAACCTTTGCTGAACGTGTTTCTTGGAGTGGCAGCTGGAATTGACGATGGAAGCAATGGGTGTACTGCTATTGATCAGTACAATTTGTTCAAGGTACACTTGAACAACTTAAGTATAGAAAGTTTTTCGAACAACACAATTCTCTTTGGCCAAATTGAAATATGGCCATTCATTAGCGCATGACTGTGGTGCACTTTAATTGAAATGTTGACGAGGTGAACAAAGTCCCTGTTTGGTTTTGTTTAAAATTTGATTTTTAATAGATTTTGATAATAACGGATGTAATATGTCATTTAAAAGTTGATAAATGTGAATTCAATAAAATATGTTGCCAAAAGTCAATTGTTGATTTTGATAAATTTTTGTCAACCTCTTTAACAAAACTAAATGGGGGTTTAAGTGTCAAATTTATGAAAAACTCTCGTCAACTTCGATGAGGATATTTAGATTGTTTGAAATTTGTGCCGAGGGGAAAACATGAAGTGTTTAGGCCATGTTTGAAAGGCCAAATTTCCTATGGAACTTGGAAAATAAATTCATTTTCCTTGGTTTTGGCTTGTTTGATGAGCAAGATTTTCCCTCACATTCGTTTTCTTGGGGGGCTGCTCCACGCGCCAATCTTCCTTGTTTTTAGGGAAATCATTCCCCCCTTTTTTGTAGGAAAATGATTTTCTAGGCTGCTACAAATTTTTTTTTTTTTTATTGCAATGGAAACAAGTGTCATAATCAATTGTAATTTTTTTTTTTTAAAATTTAATGGAAAATTACCATTTAAAA